GTTTTTTTTTTTTTTTTTTTTTAATATCTGTGTTGCTGTTTTTAATCTTTTTGAGTCTTTGCTTAAGCTAATAAGTAGTAGCTGTTTTGTCTTTTTTGCTAGATTCCTGTTCTTGAAACTCCTGAGGGTCCTATATTTGAGAGCAATGCCATTGCCCGTTATGGTAAGAAGAATCTTTCTCGTCTCTTAATGGCTGCTTTGCTTTCTCTCTTTGTCATTTTGGGTATAAATGGATGTGTTTGATATAATATTGCAGTGAGCAGATTGAACGGTGAGAACTCCTTAAACGGATCCTCCCTGATTGAATATGTGAGTTCTTTTTTTTTTCCCAGAGCTTCTCTAATCGGATTGCTCTCTGTTTTTTTTAATCTATTGGTTTGTATTCTCAATGTTTTTACTTTTGCAGGCACATGTTGAGCAATGGATTGATTTCTCTTCATTGGAGATTTATGGAAACATCTTCAACTGGTTTGTCCCAAGAATGGGCTTTATGCCATACAGTGTTCCCGTAAGCTTCTCTTACTTTTCGTTTTGCTGTTTGATCACAATCTACGTACACTCTTCCACTAAATCTGATTGTTTTAGGGTGAGGAAGCTGCGATCTCTGCTTTGAAAAGAGGACTTGATGCTCTAAACACACACCTCACTACCAACACTTACCTTGTTGGACACTCTGTTACCCTTGCTGATATCATCACTGTCTGCAACTTAAACCTGGGATTTTCCACTGTCATGACCAAGAGCTTCACCTCTGCATTCCCTCACGTTGAGAGATACTTTTGGACTTTGATTAACCAACCAAACTTCAAGAAGGTGGTGGGTGATGTTAAACAAACTGAAGCTGTTCCCCCGATCAAGAAAGCTGGCCAGCCTGCAAAGCCTAAGGAACAGCCTAAGAAAAAGGAAGCCCCTGCAGCAGAGGCACCTAAGCCTGTTGAAGAGGAAGAGGCACCAAAGCCTAAAGCAAAGAACCCTCTTGACTTGCTACCACCAAGCCCAATGGTTCTTGATGAGTGGAAGAGGCTTTACTCCAACACCAAATCTAACTTCCGTGAGGTTGCTATTAAAGGTGTGTAGTGTATCTTCTCGTAAGGTGTGCAATGAATTGTTTAGCTTATGGAACCATGTTTAATATTGTTACTCAATGCAGGATTCTGGGACATGTATGACCCAGAGGGATACTCACTATGGTTCTGTGACTACAAATACAACGACGAGAACATGGTATCCTTTGTCACGCTGAACAAGGTAGGAGGGTTCCTTCAGCGAATGGACTTGGCACGTAAATACGCGTTTGGAAAGATGCTTATCTGTGGATCAGAGGGTCCGTTCAAGGTGAAGGGTTTATGGTTGTTCCGTGGAACAGAGATCCCCAAGTTCGTTATGGACGAGGTGTATGACATGGAGCTGTACGAGTGGACCAAGGTTGACATCTCCGATGAAGCTCAGAAGGAACGTGTTAGCCAGATGATTGAAGACGCAGAGCCATTTGAAGGTGAAGCTCTCTTGGACGCCAAGTGCTTCAAGTGAAAAAAAACATAATTGGTTTTGTTTGATACTACTCCGTAGTGTTCTTGCTCTATGACTTTTGTTTTGATATCTTATGTGGTTCCTTATACTGTTTTTTTTTCTTAATTTATACTTGTTCTTGTTAATGTTTCTATTTTGACATCATTTTAATATGTTATATGGCACAGTGTTGTTATGTTAAACCCTGAGGAAAAAATAACCATTCCATGACGGCATGACCATAGAAGTCTAAGAGAGACACATTTATACACTCAATTTGAAGCACCAACTAATAGCAATCATTACAAGAACTAAAACAACGAACATCATTACACACACCACCAAACTCCAAGATCCGTCTCTGTGCGTCAGAATCAAGGGAGCTTAGCATATTCCAAACCAAAAAAGACGACGGGAGGAGAAAGTGGTAGACATACAATACCCCAGAATCCAAACAGGTTCATGAGGAAACATACCAACGTCAAGATCCCGAAGAAAATAGCCATCTCTTCGAGAATCCTATAGTGTGGAGTAAAGAACTGCGTGGAATCAGTAGTGGCCACGTAGTAGGCATATAGATTGCGAAACGTGAGATAAGTAGACGCATTCATGGCAGCAAAGAGACCCATCAACGACCGGAAACTTACTTTCCAGATCTGAAAGCTAGCCAAATCGATGATCTCAGGTTTCCCTTCTCGGAAAAGAATCACCAGGAGAAAGAAGAGAGTCACTTGCAGGAGGATATGATATGTGGCCGCGAATTTCTTGAAAACGTCTTCCGACCATACGATTGCGTAACTAAATCCATAGTCGTTCATCATTTTTACAAAAGGAGACTGAGGTTGAAAAAGGAGAAGAAGAAGAGACTGAGAAAACTAATCGGCGAGCTGTTTTGTGCTTTTTAAGGTTTGATCAATAAAAAAAGTAGAGAGATAGGTCGCCGTTGATGATTTTTAAATCGACGGTCGTGGAGACAAGGGAATCTTCATGTCTGAAGGTCGGGCATGAATTACAGACGTGTCACTTATTGGGTTTTGGTTTAATTAAGCGCAACGAAAGACTAACCTCACTTGCAATCTAATTTTCATTTTGGTATTATCAAATAAATCTTTTTATAATGTTAAAAAATACATAATAAAACACTAAACCTCAAAGTAAAATAGAAGAAACATAAACTGATAAACAAATGAAAAATCTGTTAACAAATTATTACGATTTAGTTTAGTCATAAATATTTTCTACGTGCATAAGTTTTCAAACAATTATCCGTTATATTTTTGTAAATCCAAACTAGTAATACTTTAATATTTTTGATAAAATTAAAATATATCAAAACTATAAATAATTTTACGAAATATTATAAATTCAAGGCAATAAACCAAATAAGTATAGCTAACAAAATGAATTGAAAATTTTAACCTATTTAGATTATAGTTCAGTTGAGATTAAAATGTAGTATTTTATTATACTGAAAAAAACAGTTAAATCGATCAAAATTTTCTGTTTGAAAAATCTTACATACATATAAACTACAAAATCATTTAAAAAATGAGAAAAGAAAACAAAATATTAATTTGGTATTATAAATTAGGTATGTTATGTTTTGACCAAAAAAAGAAGAAAATCAGGTATGTATGTATGATGTATTTAATTACATATTTATTTAGGTGGGTCTCATAACAAATGAATTGTTCTTAATCAAAAAGTTGAATCTTCTTATCACACGAATCTGTTCTTTGCTAAAGCTCAAGCTCAAGCTCGATCCCTCTTTGCGTGCAAGCAAAGCCTCATCGGTAAAGAGATCGAAAGAGGCTGAAGGACGGATTAGTGATTAAAGGTATAGAGAGAAAGATGAGAGAGACCTCAGCGAGTGGTCTTTCATGGCGGCGCGTGTTATTCTTCGCTTCGATTGCTCTGCACTTCGTCTTAGGTTCTTCTTTCTCCAGATCTAATCTGATTTTAGTTTTCAAAGGCCTTAGCTTTATGTCTAATTGTAGCTGAAGCTCTTTCTAGATTTCGTTTTTGTGTGATCTTTAGGCATAAAGGTTACGTCTTTGCTCTTTTGTGATTAGGATTGAAACATGTAGAGATAGGGAGAGCTGTTTATCTGTGTTATTAGATCTTGGGCAACTTTAGAAACTTTGCCACAAATAATACTACTAAAACAGTAAACTTGTTCTGTAACATGATGTTTAGTGTAAAGAACATGTTATCGTTCAGTTCATGGGTTTGGTTTTGCTATTTTGAAGAGCTTGTCTGCAAAGTTTATTACTTTTTCTAGGAGGGATTTTACTTTTGTTCTTGTAAAGTCTACTGTTTTTGTATAAATCATGAGCAACTTCATTGTGTCGCTGCATTTGTGTAATGATGAGATATGGTAAAGTGATAATCTTTTTGATGTGTAGCCATGTTCTGTGAAAGAATAATGATAATCCTGCAGATTCTGTATTATGATTGTTGCAGTTGATGTTCTATGTGTGTAGTTATTTCTCCTCGTTTATAGGCTAAGATGGCATCTATTGTCTTTGTTCAGGTCTATCGGGAGATTCCAAGAATGCAAATTCAGGAGCTAAAGCAGAGTCTCACACTTCTTCAGGCGGAACAGGGACAAAAGTAATCCTCATACTGGTCGGATTGGTGGCTGTAGCTGTGTTCTCCTTCTTTCTATACAGGTTATGGCAGAAGAAGAAAAGAGACGAGCAGTACGCTCGACTGTTGAAACTCTTTGAGGAAGATGATGAACTCGAGGTTGAATTAGGCCTTCGAGATTAAACACAAAAATACAATTTGTCAACAAAATGCCTTGGGTATATTTGTTTGTATTGGCATGTTCTTTTACATGTAAGATAAAATAGATTCATTCAACTCCAAAGACACATTAAGGAAATTTATATCTTTGGTTTCGAACTTACAAAAGTTGCATGATTCAGAAAGAGATTACATTTCATAAAACACCATTATTAAGTTTATTACGCAGTGGTTATTGGTCATCTCTGCTAAAGCCAACAAAAATGTTCAACAATAAAGAATAAACTTAATGACAGGGAAAAAAAAAAATTAATTGAAGAGTCTCAAACGTTAATTAGAACATTGTCACCTCCCAGATAGATAAGAGCAATGCATAGAGGCCTTTTCTCTTGCCCACACGACCATGCCATTTGAACTTGATCATCACTTGAGTAAAAATCTTTATTGTCCAGTCTTGGCACGCTTGCTGTTGAAAGGGGACATACTCGGACTCAAACAAGGGCTCAAGCTCAGACTTGGACTCTCCTCTCTTAGCGTACCATTCAAAGCCGCTAACTCCTTCAGCTGTTCCCTTTTGTAGTGGTCCATTGATTCATCCTGTAGAGAGAAAAACAAAACATGTGAACACAAAGTTTGGAGTGTAAAACCAGATAGAGATGTTTGTTTTCTTTGTGTGCAAAGAATGTACCATTGGCATTAGGAGGGACTCCAGGAAATGCACTGCATGCTCCAATCGAGAGTGTATTATGTCCTCTGGAAGCTCAGCTTCGATCAGTATATGTAGTGGCTCGCAGAGATGCTCGTACCCTGGCTTACCTTTGAGCTTCTCCTCCTGCAGAGAAGATAATAAAGACTAAATGGATGGGCCTTGAACAGTGCATGAAAGATTAGGTACGAGAAGAGACATGCAAAAAAAGAAACTTTCAGATTTGAAATATCTTCTAATGTGAAAATGAGTGATAGTTAATATATGCAGGAGAAAAGTATCATAACTTCAATAAGATCTTGCCATTGTGAAAGAAGGTTGCGTGAAACCTTATTCAAGAATATTCTTTACATGGCTATAGAGCATCTTGGCAAGTTAACAACTTAACATATGAGAAAATGAAGTTTTGAACTGTAGGAAGTCATCTACATTTGCAATTGAAAGAGTGACGAAATGGGATGATAGAGAGAATCAATAACCAAGGAACCATACCTTGACAGTATCCTTCACAGATCCTCGTCCTCTAATAAACACCCTACAGTGTGTTGCTAGCTCAACTCTCTTCAAAGAGTTCCCACGTGGCCCGAGAATCCTCCCAACAAAGTTATACTGCAAGGTTCAATGGATTTAATTCAAGATCATCCCTCTGGCAATACCATATTGACTATAAATTAACTTACGGTTGGAAATTTGTCCACAGGCACATCAAGCCTAATAATTCTTTTCACAATGGGTGGGGCGTGGAGTCCTGGCATACCACCCCAGCCCACTGGAGGAGGAGCACGAAATGGTGAACCTCTCTGAAGATGAAAATTATCCTGAAAGCAAACAATCAATATAACATCAAAATCCCACAGCACCATCATTAATCAACATGAGTATGATATCTAATGCCTAACCTCTCCTTGCATCATTGACCATCCGTCCAAATCAAGCTTTCCATTTGCCGGCTGGCCAAGTGATCTAAATGGACTGCCATTATCACACCTATCAAAATCAGACAAACTGGAAACCCTCCTTATCTCTGCAACAAACACGACCAATGAAAGCGTTAAATATTACAAAAGAAAAGTACAACACTTGAACATCAGGGGAAATGCATCTCAAGTAGAGAAAAAAAAAACTCACCTTGATTAAGTAGTCTGCAGCAATGTGGCATAACTTGCAGAAAAGGAGCCAACTTTTGTCTCTCTTGCAATAAATCAGCCAAGTACCTGAATTAAGTTTTAGAGAAATGTAACTGTAAGTTCCAATGAATACTGCAGTTCTGTCCAATGGCTCAAGTTGGAATCAATGCAGCACACATTTAACATAAAGGAATCATTTTTAACACTCATCAAATCAAAAGCACAAAACCCACCAATCATCTCTACACACACACATTTCAATTTGCTACTAACTCAACAAGTCCACAAAAATCTACTTTGATCCAACAAAGATTCACACTTTAAGGAGAAAGCTTCGTAAGAAGAGAGAAAGTTTAAACCTTTCACGATTAGAGGGAGGACAAGGGGATCGATTGGGAGAAGGAGCACGGAATCCACCAGAGAGAGGAAACTGGAAGAAACTTCCCGGAGGAGGGATTGGGATCCTCTCTTCCATCGCCGCGAAGCCAGCGCCGGATTCCATCATATCTGCTGCCACGTTCTGTACATTCATCAAAAGCTCAGATTGTTTCACAATGAAGTTATGAGAAATGTGCAAAAAAAGTGTGAGAGCAGAGACTGACCAGGGATAGTGGAGAGAAGATGCGGCGAGGGATCTGGCGCCGATCTGAAGGTGATGAAGCTCTCTCTGTCTTCGTCAGAGAAGTAGGTTTATGTGGACTGTGTAGAGAGTGGCCACAGGAAGAAGAAGAAGTAGAAGTAGGGGAGGGAGTCAAAAGCCCTACGCACTATGTGAGAGAGAGAGACTCTCGCCGCTTTTTTTCTAATTTCTTGTTTATTCTGTTATTTTTTTATATGGGCTTTGTATAGTGTTAAGGCCCATGCGTTTTTCACATATATGGGCCTTTTGGCGACTATCAATGGGTATCAATTACATTCGAAAAGTTAACGGCCTACTATATGAATAATCTTTAAAAAAAATTCAAAACCAAACATAAGAATCTTAGCATAGTGATTAGCTGAACTGGACCGAACCAAAATTTCCGATTAGTATAGTTAGTTCGGTTCAATCCTAGTGATTAGGGCTGGGATTTGAACCGAACAAGCTGAACTGGATGAATCAAAATTTTCGATTAATTTGGTTAGTTCGGTTCAATCCGATAAGTTTATTTAGATGTTCTGTTTTTGGTTCGGTTCAATAATTGATTATTTAATTTTCTCTAAACAAAAAATTGTAACCAAATCATGCCAAAGTTTGAAATTGAACTAACCGAACTTATTCAAAATTTTAATAAATTAAAATCAGAATATTGGATGAGATTTTTAAAAACCGAACTAACCAAATAGCGATCTGGTTTTTATTTCAGATTAATTAATTAAGATTAATGTTGAACCGAACTATATGAAAACCAAACTACCCGAACCAGCATGCCTAACAGTGATCATGTTCCTCCAGTAACATCAACCACCATATGTAGTTCAATGTTCAATGTGTAACAATTTAAATAAGGTTTGGACCGTATAGTGATGAGATGCTTACCCCTAACTGTAAAGGTGTGCGCTATTACTCACAGAAACAACTAAACAGATATAGCGTTAATGCTAATACTTTGAAATGGTAACAAAAGAAAGATATAGAGAAAATGATAGTTTATAATTTCTGCTTCTGTGTCTGGATTGCATCTTAAAGACAGTGTAACTGTAGCAAAAACGCATTAAGAACACTCAAATTCGCAAAAAGAAACTGCCAAAAAGTCTGAGCAAAACACTGGGGGAAGAAAGTAGAAAACTAATAGCCTCCCTTGAGATCGTTGACGACATCGTAAGGAATAGGAGTGACTGTCTCCAAGGTCATACCTTCAACCATGAATCCTGGTTTGGGTCCTTTAGGTTGCCTCTTGGTGCTTATTGTCTCACCCTTAGCTTTGGCTGCAGCCTTGAGCTCATCGTTCTTTTTCTTCCTCAGCTTGAACTCCTCTGCGCACCTTGACTGCTGCACGTGCTCAACACGCACATGAAGCCTCTTCCTGATGATTCTGTTACCAATCTGAAACGCAACAAGTATATATATCAGTAATCACGTTACCCAACCAATATTAATAGACACTAATAGAACTTAACTCTAAACCAAATGTCATAATCATGAAACCAATTGACACATTGCAATAACCATGACGCCGAATAGATAACCAAATCACGAATCCGATAAAAGGAAATACTTATAATCCAAAAAGGGCTTATTACAGCATTGCATTAATCATGAATCTAATGTTAATAGCTAATTAAAAATCCAACCAATAGAAACACTTAACCAATTAAGCTCAAATCTTCATTAAAAAAAATAAGATTTTTATCAGTGTGTCGGAATCACGACAATTAAAGTCGCAGACAAGATACATTAGAAGTGAGTTATTCCGTTCAGACCTGTTTGTTGACTTCGACACCAACAGCACGTTTGGTGACGTTCCAGACACGACCAGTACGACCGTGGTAGAACTTGTGGGGCATACCCTTGTGGATCGCACCATTCACTTTAACATCGACGTAATCTCCGACCTTGAAGATCCTGAGGTAGGTAGACAATGGGATTGTACCCTTCTTCCTGAACCCTCTGGCGAACAGATCTCTTGTTCTAGCGCGAACTCCATGTCCTGCCGGCATTTTCTCCTCTTGGTTTTGGTGCGAGAACTAAAAACCTTAAAACGCCGAAGAAGCAAAATGATATCGTCAATGAGTATATTTATATGTCTTAAATTAGGGTTTTCTATTAATGGGCCTGTTGGGCTTAACTGCCATATGTGTCTATTTGATTCAAAGAAAGTTTTTAATTAATTAAAATAAAACCCCTATATTCTTAATTCTTGTATGGTTTGGCTCCAAACTAACATAAAACATAATTACACCCAGAGTATTAGATTCTGAAGCATTTCTGAAGATAGCATTGTCCTAATACCTAATCTTACAAGGCTTATACAGTGAGATATAGGCTTTGACTGGTGACCACCAAATGAATAATAGGAACAACGAGGAAAGGAATGAAGAGGAACAAAATAATAGGAATACTTGTTCTATGTTGTTCTTCCTCGGAATTGATAAGGAATGGTTTTGTTCTTTGATTCCTTAAAATAAAAGGAATAAGAAGGAATATTGAAGAAAAATTATTTCTTATAAATGGTGTCAAATTTAAGGAATGAAGAGGAATTAACTATTATAATTTCCTTATAAATGGTGTCAAATTTAAGGAATGAGGAAGAATTAACTATTATAATTTCCTTATAAATGGTGTCAAAATTAAGGAATAAAGAAGAATTAACTATTCGCACACATTCCTTTGGTCACCAGTTAAAGCCATAGTGTGGTTGGAGGAATGAAAAAGACCTTTCAGTTAATGACCAAAGTAAAACCTCATGCATCTTAATACTACAACAAAGAAACAACACTTTAACAGACCAAGGTATTGATTACTTCTCTTCAACATGTCAATAACAATTATAAATTATAAAAATGGCTATGATAAACAACTACAATACCACACTCATAGAAGACAGACTTATGCTTGGCTTGCTTCTGACTCCACACTCACAAATGCTGCTGCCTCATTAAACCCATTCATGCACGAAGTAGGATCCAGGTTTAGTGGTTTCTCAACATTCTCTGGCTGATCGTTTTGACAATGCTCTGTGGTAGGTTCAGTAGGGATGGTACTATCTTCAAGTTCCTTAGCTGCGACTTTGCGCTTTCCTTTTCTAGCCTTCTTCTTGAACTGAGCCCTCCTTGCTTTTGGGGTCTTCATGGTTTCTTTCACCGGACTTGCTACCTCTACTGCCTTCTTTTCACAAGGAAGTACAGTAAGCTGAGTGCTGTGGTTGGCAAGGTCAATTTTAGATTCTGACTGGATCGCTATAAGAGCTGTTCTTCCAGCGCTTATCTCAGCCTCTCTTTTGGTTTTTGTTGCAGCTCCTGTGTACTTTATGCCTCCGATCTCTACAGTACATGTGTATTGTGGAGCTCTCCCGGTAGTCTCGCTCTTTTGGCATTGATACAATGGAATCGCGTAGTTCATCTTCTGAGCATACTCTTGAAGAAGGTTCTTGCATAGACCCATTTCGTGCTGCATTAAGAAACCATTCAAGAGTTAGCCAAATGCACATAACATACAGAAAGAGCCTAAAAATCTGGCCTTCTAGATGTTTGTTATGCACATTAATATGATAAGATTCAAACCGTTAAGCTCCATCTTTACTCAACTTATCAAAGAACTACACTACAGAAGAGAGTTGATTAACGAGTGGAATCTTTAAGGTTTCGAGTCTAGATCATTGTCTAAACCAAGACCCTACACATTAACACAATAAGCTACCTTCTAAACTTTCAATTCCCAAACTAACGGTAAGGTATGTTTCTTGAGCTGGCAAAACTACAACTCACAACCAAACCCCTGGTCATTCAAGTTACTATAGTCATGCACTAGACATTTAATCAGAATCACAATCTAAGAAGAGGTGCTTACAACAGGAAGTGAAACACATTGGCCTAGCTCACTGGACTTAGCTAACTCTTGAAGAGCAACCTCAGCAGCTGATTGCTCAGCAGCCTTACGATTAAAAAATCCAGGCAAGGAATCATATCTGACACCATCGACTATCACTGTAGACTGAAACAAAGATTTGTGTGAAGGGCCTTCTTTGACAGTCTCATAAATAGGCGTTGGTAGCTTATATTTCTGAGCATATTCCTGTAACCGGCTTTTAAACACATAGCAATTCGAAACACCTGAGTAGGAAAAAAAGGGAAGACCATAGTTAAGTAGCAGTTATTCAAACTAAAACCCTATTATAAAAACCAGAAAAGCAATGAGGTAAAGGCAAGCATAAAGGTGAAGACTTTCTCCAAGAAACTATAATTACCCTAAAAGCAATGAAGGAGAGATTCAATTGGCAAATGTAAAGCTGAAGACTTTCTCAAACAAAAACCATAAACATTGCAGAGAGAATTAAATTAATTATAAAATTGCAACTTAGCTTTCATAACATCATCTCAAAAGGAGTAAACTTTAGCAATACTCATATAATACCAATCACAACTTTGAATTCTATGCTTGAAAGGGAAGATAAACTTTCTAACTAATCAAACTGATTATTACATGAAGAAAGGGGATCGAAGAGGAACTTATAAGGAGAAAAAAGCATGAAAAATTAAAACCCAGAAAGGAAAAAAAAAACTAAAAGAAGAAGAGGGTTTCACCAGAGGGAACTTCGTTTGCAGTCATATTGTGGAGCAGAATGTTAGCTGAAGAGGTCGAAGAATGTTTAGTTGAGCACCGAAAAAGATGCTTACTAGTCGGCAACAGAGTGATGTTTGCTAGAAACCCCAGAGAGCACATTATTTAACACAAAAAAAAAAGAAAAAAATCCTCACATGTTGGGCCTTTATATTGGGCCTTAATCATATCACTGTGAAGGCCTTTATGTGGGCTTAAGATAATCCTTCGCACGTTTCCTAGTTGTATAATTAATGAGAATTAATTCATTTTCCCTCTTCCAAAAAAACACTCGTGCCCAACACGCGCTTCTCCACCACTGTCTTCCTCTTCTCCGACCATCATCTTACCGGTCTCCTTCTACATACACACACACACACGGTATCACTGTAGGAACACTTCATCTCTTTCTCTCTCACTCAACAACTCTAGGGTTTTCTTAAAGTTCATTCCTTTATCCCCGTTTTCAACAGAATCGATAATCTTTCCACGTGTGATTACTGTACAAAAACACGAAGATGGTTGATACTAAGAAGAAAACCATTACTGAAGGAGACATCGCCACGCTTTTACAGAGGTAAAAATAATCCGTATCTTTAAAAAAAAAAGTTGACTTTTTTTTTCCCGCTTTTGAATTAAGTTCAGTTTATTAATAAATGGCAGATATGATGCGACGACGATACTGAGACTACTACAAGAAATGTCCTTTTATTCCGATATGAAATGGACTGGAACGAGCTTGTTAAGAAGACAACCACTGGGATCACCAGTGCTCGTGAGTATCAGTAGCTATGGCGACACCTTTCTTATCGTGATCCTCTTCTCCTCCCTGTGGAACATGATGCTATTGTACTTGCTCCTCTCTGTCTCTTTTCGTTTTTGCTTTTCAGTAAAAGTATTGATCTTTCTTTCCTTGTGTAGGATGATGATAGTGACATGGAGTGTGAATTGGAAGCTTCCCCACAAGTCAGTTTTGAAGCATCAGTGGAGGCTAAGGCATATGTGAGGGTAAGATGGGAAATATAAGATAGAGTGTGTCATGTTTGTTAGTTGCTTCAGTTCAATGTTCTTTGTCTCCAGGTGATGGCTGCTTCTTATGTGCCAAGTGGTTGTGAAAACACAACATCTGAGGCTCCGTTAACGATAAACATACCTTACAGTCGTCTCCCTGAGGGGATTCAAGAACCAACAGAGACTCCATGTAGGATGAATATCACTTTTCCTGTTCGTCTGCAGAAAGTGTCATCTCCCGAGATGGCTTCTGAGCAGAAGAGCAAAAGATGGTCTGTTAGGGAGGATGAGGAGCTGCTTGCCGCTCTGAAGCGTTGTGGTCAAGGCAACTGGACACGTATCGCTCAAGGAGAGTTTAGTGGAAAGAGAACCGCTTCCCAACTCTCGCAGGTTGTCTTTCACTTACCTTCCCTAATGAGCCAGCAATGTGGTACTAATCACTCTAGAAATAAATATATATTGTGATTTAGTCTGGTCTAGATGTCGGGGTTCGAATCCCGGTAACAGATTCTTTGGATTATAGTATTATTTATAGTCTTTTGTGTTATATATACAGAGGTGGCTGTATATAAGACGAAGGTGTGGTGTTTCAACCTCTGCTAGCCAATCTGGCCAACAAAAAACTGAGACATTAGCAGCTAACCATGCGTTATCTTTGCCTCTGGGTAATAGACCTCCTTCAAAAATAGTTGCAGCAGGTAAAAGAAGTAGACCATAATATAACAGATGAGGCTTTAGTTTGGCTCTGTTTTAAATGGGTGAGGTTTGTAGCTAAAATAATATTTGCTTCATTTTATTACAGATGTTTAGCCAGGGATTTCATCTTGTACCATCAAAGAAACGCAGGACAATAAGGGGAGTACTTCTCAAGGTCAACAACAGTCCAAACAATTGTTCTAGCATTGGCTCGGCCTTCAAAATCTCGAGTACCAGTTAGAAGAACAACTTCGAGGTCAACTTCCAGGTTGAGTTTAATGGTAACAGCTAATTCAGCAGCTGCTGTGGCATGTATGGGTGGCGTATCGCCTTTTGCATCTGTCCCAAAGGTCGCTTCTATTTCTGCATCGAAGATCGTCTCCAATCAAAGAGTTCTTACCGCCTGTCCCAACAACTGTGTTACCACTAAATCCAACTGTGGAGACTGTCTCTTGCTATGGTGGACAAAGAGAGCAAGCTGGGGGAGATGGAGCAATCTCATTGGTTGCTATCAAGCCTACCTCGACAAACTCGGAGATTGGTAGCAGGGGAAAGCAGGCTCAGTCTCCTTTGTCTAGGACAATACCAGTAGCTGACACTGCAGTTCTCGGTTCCACTAACCAAAATTTGGTGGATAGAACTGCAGTACCGTCTATCAGTGGAGCTGGTTCACAATATAACGTAAAGTGTGAAGCAAACAATAAGGTTGGTTCGATGGTCAAAGTGAGTAATGTGTGCGGAGAATCTGCAGAGGTTGCAACTGTGGGAGGGACCGGACAGGGTGTTTAGTTCTTTGACAGAAACATCTGATTCTTTTATTTGTAGGACTGAAACAAAAGATATTATGTAAACTTGGCCCTCACGGTACATGGATGGTACTAACTAATATTAGAAATCTCATTAACTTGCAATCTGGAGCTAACATAAGCAAAGATTGATGAGGGTTGCTTCTTTTGTTTATACAGAAAGTAAAGACATCTGTATAGGATCTTGCTCTGATGCCATGAAATATAATTGTAATGCTTGCCTTTATTCATTTCTCATACGTTCAACATATATACAGAGGAGACTTTCCATACTAGAAGATTTACATATATCGCATTCCCGGTTTAACATATATCGTATCCTTATAGTTAACTCACTTCAATGGTGCCATGGCCATAATATAATCATTAACTAGATTTTGACCTGCGCTTGAAAATCGCAGAAATTTTTTATGATTAAAAATTTATATAATTGGGTTTTGTCTTAATTTAAAGAATGTTTTGGACTCCGGATGAGCTTAAGGAGAAACCTGAAGTTAAATCAATCCCACTATGGGTTCATCTCACAAACGTTCCGATGAATATGTTCTCTTGGCAGGGGCTCAGTTTCATCACAAGCGCTGTGGGACATCCTGATAGGCTTCACCCTGAAACTGCTTCTTGTGCTAATTTCAAGGTAGCAAAAGTTCTGGTAAACGC